TGTATATATATATATATATATCTTATATGTGTATGGTGTATGTATATATATACTAATATATTATATATATTTTACTAGCGATTTACGCCGCCGTCTCTCCCACTTCCTTCTAATCCTCTCCATCCAAAGGTTGCCTGGAAGAGATCGCTTTAAGCGATAAGACCGGCCATTGCATCACGTGTACTAGATGGTTTTGTACTTAATGTTCAACGTTTTTTTGTGGTGTACAATAAAGGGTTTTTATATTGTATTGTATAATATCGCTTGAAAAACGCAAGTTAGCTTCAAAGATACCCACAAACGCAAAGTAAATAAATCGTGATATTTTTTTAAGTTTAATAGCTTTTTACACGACTGCCCAAAAAGAGTGTAATGTTTTTAGGGTTCATGTATGTTTATTTATCCCAGACAATTGATAGGAGCAATCAAATATTACAAAATTCACATTCAAAACTACAAATTAATAAAAATGAAAGAATATCTTCTTATGAATGAAATTTATTATCATGATCATAATTTCGCACCTGGGCTACGTGAAAAAGTATAAATCAAAACTAAAAATAATTAAAATTAATATGAGATATTAAAAGTTCAATAAAGCATTTGTTAAGAAGCATCTGGGTATGTTATTAAAGGTATATACGAGTATGTTACTAGCGGCCCGCCCTCGCTACGCTTCGGTGTAGAGCTGAAGTGTAGACTACAGTTTTTGTTCTCAGGCTTGTATTATACACAATGACATTCATCTATGATTCTTCTTATACCTGCATGCAAAGTCTCAGCCCGATCGGTTTAAAATTGACAAAGTTTCATACAAACTTTCATTCCCTATTTTATCCCCTTGGGGGTAGAATTGATCAAATTCCTTTCTAAGCGGATGCCTACGTCATAACATCTACCTGCATGCCAAATTTCAGCCCGATGCTTCCAGTGGTTTGGGCTGTGCGTTGATAGATCACTATGTCAGTCGGTCACCTTTGAGTTTTATATATATAGATGTAAAAGAAAAAAAGAGCGCAAGGCCAAAGCGTGATAGCCACAGCAATCCCGTTAGGCGATTGGCCCCCTGGACCGAGTGGAATATTTCTAGTCACATTTTCTATAGATTTATTTATTTATAGTTAAAGCATTTCGTTGCTCAGTTAAATCTCATTAATAACAAGATTCTTCATCTGCGTATGACGGCCCTGTTGCTATTTTTGTTTGACAAACAACATGATTTGCGTGAAAATGTAACAGCGTAGCATAAATAATTATATATTTGCTTGCTTTGCTTGTTTGATGCTCTCAAACTTATTTTTGTAAACAGTTTACTTTCTTCGCCTCACAGACCAGGGGGCCATTGGCCTAACGGAAATGCTATGGAAAACGCTAACGCTTTCGAATTTATTTTGTTATTTCTGACCGCCGAAGGTTTTTAAATACCTCACACTCATTTTTTTTAATATTGTTATTACCAGTGCAAAAGAAAACAAAAGAGCGCGAGGCATTTGAAAACCTCAGGCGGCTAGAAATAAAATAATGAAATCGTAAACGTTAGCGTTTTCCAAAGCATTTCCTTTAGGCGAATGGCCCCCAGTATCCCTAGCACGAACCAATCTCGAATTCGTATCGTTTGCGAGTCCGAAATGTGTACTGATTGTTCTCGTTACGTACTTTGTGCCGCTGTTGTTAAAGTTTCCATACAAATTTGACATTGACATTTCGGTTTGCAAACTATTCGGATTAATGGTTAGTGCTAGGGGTACAGTAACCCTAGCACGAACCAATATCGAATTCGTATCGTTTGCGAGTCCGAAATGTCGTTGTCATATGTGTACTGATTTTTAGTTCTCGTTACGTACTTTGTGCCGCTGCTGTTCAAGTTTCCATACAAAAGACATTGACATTTCGGTTTATAAACTATTCGAATTAATGGTGCGTGCTTGGGGTACAGTACCCCTAGCACGAACCAATATCGAATTCGTATCGCTTGCGAGTCCGAAATGTCATTGTCAAATGTGTACTGATTTTTAGTTCTCGTTACGTACTTTGTACCGCTGCTATTCAAATTTCCATGCAAAATTTGACATTGACAACTATTCGAATTCGATAATAGTTCTTGCTAGGGGTACAGTTTTTGAAAAAAGAAATGATGTGGTGTCGTGGGACACCAGGTAGGCACGAAGTTCCTTCGGCTAATGTAGAATCGACACAAATTGCAAACTCGCTTGTGAATGCGACTGTCGCGCCTGCGCACATCTCATTTAACGGTTTTATTCCATGCACTTTTTTCCACGGATTTTTTCTTACGGTTTTACTATCACATTTTTTTTAGTTCGGTCGCGCAGCAAAATCCCTATCCCCTCCAAGCCTGCCGTAAGGAACTTCGTTCCAATAAAACTTTCGCCTTCAGTATCGTTTTTATGTTTATATGTGTAAAAATGGACATTTACCTACCCTAAGAGCTCTTGGTAACGAGACGAATTTTCTACACGGCTTAAGGCACGGTTTTGAACTAAATTTACGACCGCTCGACAGTTAAGAATGGGTCACTATTGAGTGCTAGCGACGGATGGTTTGGGGTCGGTAATAATAATAATAATATAATAATATAGCCTCTTTATTTCCATAATGTACAAGTAATAAATATCATAGAATTATTCATAAGTACATGCATGAAATAATAAAATATTACAAAAAATGGGTGCGTGTACTTATGTAGGCGCGTGAGAAGTTATCCTTCTTTGGCATCGTTTAAAATTAGTTTTTAATTGCATGCAAATAATTAATTACAATAAATTAATAAAAAGTCTGGAAAAGGACACAGTCAATAAAGTTCAGTTTTAATTTGAAAAAATAAATAAATAATCAAAATATTCAATTAAAATCGCTACTGAATATAATTTATTAGAACATATGTGATTTGCACTTGTATTAAACTCAAACACGTATTCCGAATATACAAACTAGAAATATGTGGATAAATACACACATCAAAAGTGTCTAGGGATCAAGCATTTTTATGCGGATTTCTTGAGATTGAGATGTGGCTTTGTAATAAATTTATGATTTTATAAATTTATATGGATCCTTTTTGGTGCATTTCATAATTTGAATCAGGAACTGTGAATCAAATTCGAGTAAAAGATGAAAATCAGCTGTCAATATTTTCCCTATAAAAACATACAACGCATTGAAGACATTATTAGTGCTACTGTTTCCCTACTACTGATTAAAACCAACGTTATTATGGAGCGGCGACGTCATTTAAGCAGGGAAGAAATGCTCAGAGCCGTGGGAATGATAGAAGCTGGTTCCCGGCAACGTACTGTGGCTTTAGCTCTGAATACAAGTCAGAGTGTTATCAGTCGACTTTGGACACGATACCGAAGCACTGGTACCGTGGCTGAGCGCCATGGAGGACGGTATCGCTGCACCACACGGAGACAAGACCGATACATTCAAATCTTAACTCGAAGAGCTCCAACAATAACCGCCATGATGTTAGCCGTGAGGCTTCATCACTCTTCAGGGAACTTAATTAGCGACCAAACAGTCAGAAACCGCTTGCATGAAGTGAACCTTCATTCCCGAAGACCGCTACGGGTACCACCTATAGCAATGCACAATCGTAGGATTCGATATCAATGGGCTCTTGAACACAGAAATTGGGCAGAAGAACAATGGCGTTTCGTGTGCTTTTCTGATGAGTCTCGTTTTGGTATGAGACCGGATACAAGACGTATACGACACTGGAGAACCCCTGGACGCCAACAGCGATTAAAATCCTGCCAGGAAGTCCATCCTTATAGTGGTGGAACCATCATGGTATGGGCGGGTATTTGGATCGGCGGAAGAACTGAGTTGATTTGGATCAGAGGCAACCTCAACGCTCAAATTTATGCTGAGACGATTGTATCAGACGTCATCGTTCCTCTACAAGTGCAAATCGGTCCCTTATTTCAGTTAATGCATGATAATGCACGACCGCACACCGCAAGAGTTGTAAGACAGACTCTCGCCGCAGCTAACATCAATGTCCTGCCCTGGCCTGCTCAGTGGCCAGACTTGAACCCGATTGAGCATGCATGGGATATGCTACAGAGAAGAGCTCTGCCGAATATGGAGGGTATCCAGTCGCAAGAAGACCTTTTTTTGTTGTTGCAACGAACATGGGCGGCCATTCCACAGCGTGATTTGGATGAACTCATTTTGAGTATGCCAAACCGATGTTCTTGTGTTGTTAATGTTCGCGGTAGAAATACGGATTATTAATTGTTTAAGTTACCCAATAAAATTTTAGAGAAAACTGTTATTTCAGTCTTTTTTTCGAACTTTTGTGTTAGTGGTTCAAATGTCAAAAATCCCTTTATTAGGAAAATGGCAAATTTCTTTATTAATGCAAAGGTGACTTGGTTTATCGTTACTGTGACAAACGAAAACACTTTATTTGATGAATCCTTAAAGAAAATTTTAATTAATATCAATCAGGAGAAAAGTTATTGCAAAAATATATGTTGATCCCTAGACACTTTTGATGTGTGTATTATAAATATGAATACCTATAACTGTTACTTTATTACAAAAAATAAAGATGTGGTTTTTGGTTCTACTACACCAATGGTCAAGAGATGGCGCTGTAGTCTCCTGAATCGCGCTTTGGTTCCGTTGTTCCAGATTAATAAATACTTTTGATAGGCCTTCACAATGCAGTCGTTAGCACCCACTAAATAGAGATTCTATTTCTATTTTGTTGGTAGATTTTCTTAATGTGCGGTAAACACAAAAGTAACAGCATGAAGTTGGTCGCTTTAGCGTAATTTTTGTGTTAAAATTTCACTTTCATCATTTTTTCATAACGCGCCTAAAGAAGTATAACTTCAACAATTAATACCAATAAATTAGATAACAATTAGCATTTTAAAATTTTCATTTCATACAATTGTCAAGTAATAATAATAATAAAATTCAAATTCCAAATGGTAATTGAATGTCAAAGTAATTATTAATGCATGTCATTATGGACCCCTCAACGAGTAAAGGCCTCCTCCATTTTGCTCCACGTCTGTCTGTCCTTTGCTTTTGTAGTCCAATTTTCACCAGCCTTTCTTATTACTTCATTAATTGGGGCCGGTACAAACCTACAATTCGTGCTCATGAAAATGCTCAGCCGGCACCGGCCCGGGTAGAAACCGTGCTAGACCCGACGGAAAACCGGTCATTACCAAGCCCACCGTATTATTTACTGGAAGAAAACACCACTCGGCACTTTTGAGTTAGCAATTTCCATCATCATCATCATCAGCCTATTAATGTCCCACTGCTGGGGCACAGGCCTTCCCTATTAATGGAATAGGGAGATTGGGCCATCACCCACCACGCGGGCCCAGTGCGGATTGGTGGGTGCTAACGACTGCAGATGCAGCCGGGACCAACGGCTTAACGTGCCTTCCGAAGCACGGAGGAGCTCGAGATAGTAATTTTTGGTCACCCATCCAATGACCGACCATTGCGAAAGTTGCTTAAGTTCAACGATCGCAGCCGAACGCGCTAACCACTTGCGCCATCGAGCTCCTCAATCTAACAGCAATTCTACTGGCATACAAAAAAAACCCGAACATATAAAAAGCGAAAAGACGCGGTCAAATTTAAAAAAAACTACTTAACTCATTTTTGTTAAAGACCAGTTTTTATTCGATGCAAGAGTTCTTCAATTTTATTAGTAGTTAATTTAAGCAATACCTTATTTTTTGTTAACGTACCTACGTAGTGTTATTTTATATGAAATTATAATAATTATTTTTATTGAATGTATCAATCTTTTTTAAGTTAAATAAACTCTTTTTGCGTCTGGTTAGACTATCGAACTTAAGGAGTAAACTCCAGTCGTGCGTTGGAGCTGACACTTACAATTTTTTTTTAAATTCGGGCTCGTTCTCTAGATATTTGAAATTTTCTGTGAAAACACACGATTTTCTGTCGAAAATACTCAGTATTTTTCGATTTCTATTTAATCTGAAATAAAAAAGTGTGGTTTTAGGAAACACGGTAAGAGTGTAATTTTGATTTTTTTTCCATGGCCTCCATTTTTTGGGATAAGCTTTAAACTTAAATGGTCGTAAAATTATTCGATTTAAGGCATTAAAATCTCGTTTAATCTTAAATGATAAAAACATTTTTTTTTTAATACCAACACGCACCAATTAGCCTAGCCCCAAAGTAAGCACTGTAAGGCTTGTGTTATGGGATGCTAGGGTAACGGTTAGAATACACATACTTTACATATATAAGTTTATTTATATAGAAATAGATATTTAAACATCCATGACTGAAGTACAAAATGCTCGTGTTCATCACACAAATATCTGCCCCCACCGGGATCCGAACCCGGGACCTCTCGAGTCGGCGACGCCATGAAACCCGGCGTACAAACCACTCGGCCCCGGAGGTCGTCAAATGATGATGAAAATGGAACTTATAATGGGAAATAATAGTAGACAAGATAGGTATACAATATTTCTGTTACATGTCATATCATCATCATCATCAACAGCCTATCCTAGTCCACTGCTGGACACAGGCCTCTCCAATTGCACGCCACTCAGACCGATCTTGGGCTATTCGCATCCAGCTCCTGCTAGCCACCTTGCAAATCTTCACTCCATCGTGCCTGAGGACGTCTACACTACGTTTGCCTAGACGCGGTCTCTACTCCAGAACTCGTCGACCCCAGCGGTTATTGGTTCTGTGGCAAATATGGCCAGCCCACTGCCACTTCAGCTTGCTAATCCGTTGGGCTACGTTGGTAACTCTGGTTCTTTGTCAGATCACCTCATTTCTGGTGCGATCCTTCAGAGAATAGCGCCCTTCCATATCGCGCTGGGTGACTTTGAACTTGTGGACTAGCCGTACCGTCAGTGTCCACGTTTCGGCTCCGTATGTCAGAACACGGGGCCATATGCCTAACGGAAATACTTTGGAAAACGCTAACACTTTCGATTTTATTTTGTTACTAGTGGCCCGCCCTCGCTTCGCTTCAGTGTAGAGCTGTAGTGTAGACTATAGATTTTGTTCTCAGGCGTGTATTGTACACATTGAATTTATTTATTTAATTCCTTTTTTATGATTCTTTTTTTATTGAATAGGTAATAATGTTAACTTTTTTAAATTAGGGATGAGTGAGAGTATTATAAACGTAAGAGTAAACAAATATAATCAGAATGCTCCGAACTGCTAAGCTATCAGGAGTTACACGTATTATTGTGAGTAAACCATAAAAGATAGACATATGCTGTTGCAGGATATTTTTTAGACAATTTTATGTAGAATATTTTCGTCATACATGATTTCTATGTAACTTTAACCATTAAGGCTGCGCACGCGACGGAAGCTTAAAAAATGGAGTAACTTCTCCCGTTTTCCCAACATTTCCCTTCACTACTCTGCTCCTATTGATTGTAGCGTGATGAAAAGTATACTATAACCTGCCCAGGGGTATGAAGAATAATTGTACCAAGTTTCGTTAAAATCCGTCGAGTAGTTTTTGTTTCTATAAGGAACATACACACAGACAGACAGACAGACAGACAAAATTTTTACTGATTGCATTTTTGGCATCAGTATCGATCATTAATCACCCCCTGAAGTTATTTTGAAAATATATTTCATGTACAGAATTGACCTCTCTACAGATTTATTATAAGTATAGATTTTTGACCGCCGAAGGTTTTCAAATACCTCACGCTCATTTTATTTAATATTATTATTACCAATGCAAAAGAAAAAAAAAGAGAGCGAGGCATTTGAAAACTTCAGGCGGCTAGAAATAACAAAATGAAATCGTAATCGTTAGCGTTTTTCAAAGCATTTCCGTTAGGCGAATGGCCCCCAGGTAGGACGCACTGATTGAAAACTTTCGTCTTTAGGCACTGTGGGATATATCATGTTATGTACCTATTATTATGAACTCCATTTTGTATTTTTGTGTATACTCGAAAATCACTCATTAAAACCCAATAAACAAACTCCCTTTAATTAGCATAATTAAAGCATCCTATTGAAAATAATTAGAGTATAATATAATGATTGAATTCGTATAGAATCAATTAGGAGCCAACTAAAGTCCCTAATTAAATTGAGTTAAGCTTAAAATATGTATTCAATTATAAAATAAATCCTATTTAATTAGGGACTTCGTTTGGAACGCGAAAATTTTGAAAATCTCTCTAATTCCTTTTCTGTAATGTAATTGTCAAATTTTGTATGGAAACTTGTACAGTAGCGCCACAAAGTACGTAACGAGAACTAAAAATCAGTACACATTTGACAATGACATTTCGGACTCGCAAACGATACGAATTCGATCTTGTGTTATATTGGGTGGCTTTAGTACCGGGTTCAACATCAGCCTATTAATGTCCCCACTGCTGGGGCACAGTCCTTCCCTATGGATAGAATAGGGAGATTGGGCCATGACCCACCACGCGGGCCCAGTGCGGATTGGTGGGTGCTAACGACTGCAAATGCAGCCGGGACCAACGGCTTAACGTGTTTTCCGAAGCATGGAGGAGCTCGAGATAGTAATTTTTGGTCACCCATCCAATGACCGACCACTGCGAAAGTTACTTAATTTCAACGTACCGGGTTAGTATCAACATATTACGAAACCCGACGACTTCGCTCAGTCGGGACGTGTGAAAGGAAGTTTCACTTCTGAATTGAACTCCCGACCTAACCTTAGCAGAAAGTGAATATGAAGTAAGTTTGAGTATTATATTAATACGTGAAGAAAAAGCTTTCGTACCCGTCGTCTGAGTGTTAAAATTTATCTAGTAAAAAGTTTATATCGAGCAGGAAATTTTTTTTCCATTTTTTTTTTTGTTTCTTGCCAGGTGGGGGAGCGGTTGAGAAATCCTCATGGATACCCTACAGCCGGCTGCAAGGTTCAGTCAGACTCATACTGACTAAAAAACACCCGTAGGGGCTGCCTCTGGCCAGGAAGGCCTCTAAGGCTACATCGGAAACGATCCTCCCCCGAGGGGGGGGGGGGGGGGCGGAAGACGCAGCGCTGTCTTAGTTAAACTTTAGAGCATATGCGACAAAGTTTGGGAGTAGGGGCTCGTGACGACACTTTTGAGTGAATTTTCACATATGTGAACTGTACTCAAACGTGACGTCATGCGACTTTTCAAATCAATATATCTCTGCAATGTTTATATTATGTGATAAAAGAAAAAATACGTGTCCAATATTTTTTGATAATCTACATGATAAACGAAGAAAAAAAAATTAGTCATCATCCCTATTACAAATGTGAAAAGGTGTCTGTCTGTTTGTCGGTCGCACCTCATTATGCTTAAAACGCTGAACCGATTGAGAGGAAATTTGCTACAGTAATAATTTGAGTCCCGCTATACTATATACCCATCTAGGCCATAAACTATACGCATCCGAATCCGTTAGTAGTTTTTGCATGATTGAGTAACGAACATACAAACTTTCACATTCATAATATTAGTGAGATTTACTTCCTTATTCGGTCCAAATCAAATTAGGGATAAATCGCATGAGCGCTTTTTCTTCGCGTCATTTCTAACGATTCAAAAGCACTTATGATATTCCCTTTGTGTTTACAAGTGGACGTCCGACCCGACGTTCGGTTGACGTGAAAGTTTTTTGTAGGTCGACGCTCCATTTTGGACTTTAGCCGTTAAAACTTAAGTTTAAATTCATTTCAACAACATTATAAAATCTCTGAAGTCGAGATTTGATGCTGGTAGAAAGAGCAGTCTTGTCAAGAGTTCACAAACATCATAGTAAAAATGGTTCTGTGTTTACGGTGTACCACGAGGTATTAAGTACGCTTGATCAACACCACATGTACCTCAAATTCTATGGAAACCGAGCTTGTCAGATTTTGAACACTCCTTAATCTCAAATTCTATGGAAACCGAGCTTGTGAGATTTTAAACACTCCACAACCTCAAATTCAATGGAAATCGAGCTTGTCAGATTTTAAACACTCCTTAACCTCAAATTCTATGGAAATCGAGCTTGTGAGATTTTAAACACTCCACAACCTCAAATTCTGTGGAAACCGAGCTTGTGAGATTTTAAACACTCCACAACCTCAAATTCTATGGAAACCGAGCTTGTGAGATTTTAAACACTCCTCAACCTCAAATTCTATGGAAACCGAGCTTGTGAGATTTTAAACACTCCTCAACCTCAAATTTTATGGAAACTGAGTTTGTCAGATTTTGAACACTCTTTAACCTCAAATTCTATGGAAACCAAGCTTGTCAAATTTTAAACACTCCTCAACCTTAAGTTCTATGGAAACCGAGCTTGTCAGATTTTGAACACTCCTCAACCTTTTTCACGCATACCACTCATTAAATAAAACATGTTTCAATAAACAAAGTTGTCAGATTTTAAATACCCACGAGAACAAATAAATGATAAAAAAGAGTGGGTCCCGGTCAACTATTTCAATTATATAGTTTTTCTTAATAGAATAAAGTTGCATATTTTTTTACATTATGATTTAGTCTGGTATTGAGAACAGCGTGGCGACGCGAAGAAATAAATTGGCATAACAGGATGAGCTTTAGTCTTCCTCTTGGCACACTAAGTACATACACTTGCGTTATTTCTTTCGGTCTGTCTGTGAGCTAGGAATAGCTCAAAAATTTTCTTTTGATCTTCCATATCTGTTATATATTAATTAATTTATTTTATGGTTTACCAGTGTTTGTTTACACATTACTTAAAACCATTTACAAGATTAACTATACACTTGACTATAGAGTGTTCCTCTGTTAAGGTAAATACCGCATGCATTAAAGAAGACGCTAAAAATATACATTAAATTCATCACAATATTATTTTTATTATTATTTATCTCCTAAGTCATGACGTACTTATCAAAAGCTTCTTCTAAATTCTCTTCCGATTGCTGAACAACAAAAAATAAACATTAATTATTAATGCATCGCATAAGTTTAAAAGTGTACATTATCAACTATAATTTAAACTCACCTCCAACGGGATCACTCCACACGTGACGCAGACGTCAGCCAGCACCAGATGCGTCATCAGCAGATCTATTCTGGACTTCCTTCGCCTGGTCCTGGCCAACGAGATTAACACAACTATGTTACTCAAACCGCCTATCGCCAACAGCACCCCATACGTCGCCAACACAGCCGCCTGGTCACGGGGCAAAGTGTCCGAAATCTCTAAACTAGAGTTCACATAGCCAGCAGACGTCGTCATATCGAAATAATCCCAAAACTTCTTATCTATTTCCGAAGTTGTAGCACTGAATGTATCCTCAGAATAGTAACTGATGACCATTTTGAAAAAATGGTTGCCTGTAAAGTCGGTTTTACGGGCGAAGATTTTACGTGACAACGTCTTTTTCTCGGTAGAATATTTATTGATATGAATATAATTAAATTGCACAATAGGAACAAGGAATTGAATGAAAATAAGAATTGCACAAATTTTAACTATAGAAATATATTTTGTTTACTAAAACATTGTACATGTAAACTTAAACTTAACACGAGAGACTCATCGTAACGTTACCGAGCGTTACACTTTTTCATAAGTGACTCCCAGCCGCAACCTAATTTAAGACGTTGTCACGTCAAAAAAAACTTCTGATACACACTACACTGCAATAAGAAAACACATTACACTTCTTACACTAAAATATATTACACACGTTTAAAAATATGACATCGTGTTGATAAAAAGTAGCCAGGATAAAGTTTCGCCGAACTCGCGTAAGCTTGCTACGACAAACGACACGCGACTACGCCGCTCGACTACGACGCTACGACTAACTGCGAAAATGAAGCCGTCGAAATACTACGCTACGAATCGAAGGAAAGATGCATTTCTACGAAGGGTACAGTACTGAAATAGAGGGAATTTGAGTGGTTTAGTTTTTATTAAATAATATAATATAAGTATACTTTTATTTAAAAGCATTTAGATGCTGGATGTTTAAATCTAGAGAAAATTTACTAGAAAAAATCCACTCTATACAATATTGTTATTAGTCCAGGGAAAATTAGTAACAATCTGGGGACCAATTGCTTGTTTTAGACAATCTATGGTAAAGTGTCAATTTCACTAAACTAATCTCTTTCCCAACTATAAAATGAAAGAGATTACATCTTGGATATTTATTATGGATTCGGTATTTAGTTTTTCATAGAGCAGGCAATTTAAATACCTTCAACCAGTAGTGTTTCTTAATAAAGGAAGGACATAGTGGAAATCATGTTTGATGAGGGGCGCCCGTCTGTGGATGTAACAACATCCACCTTACAGTACTCTTAGCACAGAAAATTTCTTACTTATTGAAAATTACTTAAAAAAACACTAATAGTGACATAGATGCGCTTATTGTAGAGTAAAACCTTGCATTTAAAAACTAAAACTAAAAAAAAACTATTTCAAAACCACAAAAGTACGACTGTACGACTCTGGAATGACTTGCCCCCTAATATACGTAAAGCTCCTAACAAACTTGTATTTAAGGGATTGGTTCGTGAGCATTATCTCTTATCTATTAGACAAGTCCGTCCGTCCGTCTGTCTGTGGTGCTGTTTCAGCGGCCAAACCGTAAGAGATAGATAAAGAGAATGTTTAAGTTATAAGTTAAGAATAGTCTGATAAGACTACAAACCGGATTTGAGTAACGTAGCACTTCCGGTTTTCGAGAAATCACGAATTTCAAACGAAACCACACAAAATCTCTGAAGTTCTCAATTAATTAAATACATTTTTTTTTTAAATCAGGTTTTGGTGAACATTTGGTTCACTGGTTTGCTAGTCTTAATATAATTAATCTGCGTTCTCATATTTGACTGGCATAATTATGTGTATGTTTATGTATGTATTGTATATATAGCATATATATTTAGATGTATGTATTGTATATATATTTTAATATTTGTGGATTCTATTGATATATATGTATATTACCTACTTGGTTTATTTAGCGAATGTCCTTATTGGACCCCCGTATTTTTATTTCTCACGCTTTTACTGGTCGACTGGTAGAGAATGCTATATAGCATTATGTCGGCCATTTGCTGTTTGGTTTGCAATAAAGTATAAATAAATAAATAAAATAAATAAATAAAAGTATCATAAGTTCCGCAAAGCTCTAGTACCAACGGCAACGGCTTCTGAATAGCGCTATCGTTATACGTTTGTATAAAGATTATACATATAATTGACGACCAAATATTTGACGACAACCGTGGTCGAGTGGTTTGTACGCCGGGTTTCATGGTGTCGCCGACTCGAGAGGTCCCGGGTTCGAATCCCGGTGGGGGCAGATGTTTCTGTGATGAATACGAGCTGCCACCTGGACTTCCTAACAATATATTGAAAGTCAACAACCTTTCCAATTTTATTGTTTTCGTCTTACGAATTTTCGATTAGCTCATGGAGATATGACCTAATCAGGACTGACGCGATCAGGCCACGTGTCCTGACGCGAGTTTAACAGTTTTTACTCATTACAAAAAAGTGTACAACGCCGCTAAATAAGTTTTCACTTCAAAAATTAATCTCGAATTGATTCTGAGTTTGAGATGCAGTTAGACTTTGATTTACGTATTTTAGTTAAGATATATAGTTTGATATTAATTGTTTTGTTTTAATTTCTGATAGTGAATATAAAGACTCCTGGTCAAATATATTGTGGTTACGACAGGCAACTACGGAACCATACACTGCGCGAGGCATGACACGCACTTGCTTATGTTAAATGGGTGGCAAACAAACATTTGGCTCGCCTGATGATAAGCGGCCACCATAAATTGAAAGGACAATGGCGAAATATTTGTTGAAGTAAATCTTTAGCGTCTAAAGATGTCATTATCAAAAGTGTTAATAAAATTATCTCAAAAGATTTATTAAAGAATTGAGGAGGGTTGTCTAAGTCTGGAATTAGAAACTTAAAAAAGGGAAACACAATTGACTTTTTTTTTATTTTCATTGTGGCTTGGCATCATGGCTTTTGAGCCATATATTTTAAGTGATTTTAATGATGGAATCAACTTCAAGTATGTTGCTCGTATATTTTGCATCGCTTTGCGCTTAAACTATATTTAATTATCTATCAAAAATATCGGGAAACATTATTTTTCAATATTTTACTGAAACCACAATAAATAATCTCCACAATACAAAAAGAGTATGGCGCCAATCCTAATGCAAAAAACTACAAATGTCACTGTCATGCTTGTCATCGAATTTTTGTTGTTATTGTTATCATTATCGTTGCTTGTGCATGCGTATTGCAAAGATTTAAATCGGCGTATTGTGTTTTATTCCGCTGTTTTTTTTTTTGTGGCTTGGACTGCTTTTGACTTTCAAAATCTTTCCCTGCGACTGTTGAGTAGTGCTTGCCTAAGGCTTCCGAATGTGATATTTTGGACGACTTCTTGCTGTGGATTTTGGACAAGATTCTATTCGATTCAAGATTCTGTTCCATTCTGGATTTTGTTTCATTGTCTCTACTATCTATGGTATTGTGATCAAAGAAGATGTGGAATAAAAGATAAATATAAAAAATACGTGTGGCACTCGGGGACTGCCGCGGTAAAGCTATTATTATATTATTATTATTTATTTTATTTATGCAGTATTTTTTTCTTTGATATTAATTCGTTTTTTCTTTGATATTAATAGATGGCGAGACAGTCCTTATGATATTTTATTGGGCAAGCACAGCAAACAACAGAATTGCCCGGCGCCAAAAAACTTTCACAAGCTCCACAGTTTACCATCTTTAGTCCAAAACTTTAAATTATAATTATAAAGTCTAAATAAAAGGGAGACAAATAAAAATAAGAACAGGTGCTGGGGTCTTAAACAATTATATATAAAAAAAGAAAAAAATATTTTAAAAAAAATACAAAATACGAGTGCGGGATTTGAACAGACGACCGCGGTGATGCGTCGAACGTTGGTCATGTGGCAAAAATTTAACACACTACGCCGTTTACATCGATAATGAGATGACAAAAATAGTGTTTTATTGGTATATGCACTCTCGTAAGGTTTTTTCGTTACGGAATTTCTTCAGTCGCCGCTCTCAAAGCCCGCGATAAAAGCTATACAATAGCTTAAAAAGTGTTTCATATTTAATTAATGTTCCCATTAGTACACTATTAGAAATCCTTTTTTATGCTTTATTATTGCTGTGGGCATTTTCAAATTGTTAAGTACTTCTTACAGCACAGACATTGTATTCAAACTGAATAATCCTTGTCTGTTAATATTATTAAGTATTTTGACGCGGTCGGTCAGTACCTATGCCAGCTTATCATACATTATAAAAAGATTATTTTTCCGTCACTAATTACGGGACCGGTATACTTCTATAGTTTCGTTCCACGTATTTTTTATTTTGATATAGAAATACTCTTGAAAATACTTTTTAATTAGTTTTTGTATTACTTGGTATGACATAACCTCCAAAACTTCAAAGTAGAATATCTTTAAATCCAGACTTCCCATAATAAAAGAAATAAGACGAATCAAATCGAGAATCTGAACTATAATTTAACATGTAATTATAATTATAAATAAATAAAATATATCTTTATTCAAATAAGGTCATACATTACATAATAATACTAAAAATAATATAAAGTACAAAATAATGGATGCCTGAACTAGGTAACAGTTAAAATTGTTTCTGTATTTCAGGCTTTTATGATCTAAAATAATACAATCAATGATTAATAAATTACCAAATTAATTAAAATAGTACTAAAAGTAATCATTGTATAAATGTTGGTAAATGTAAATTATGGAGTTACGTTCATTTATTTACAAATAAGAAGTAATTCTTCGGTCTGCTCGTATGTCAGGCTGTGCAAATAATTTAATTCTACATTTCTACAGTTCAAATAGTTTAATGTATAAATACTTAAATCATTTACAGACGCAAAAAAAAATTCAACAAAAATTTGTATGGGTGTTCGCCATTGTCCTTTCTCTATAGATCTAACCTACAGACGCTTGTGATACAAAATATGTCACTTGCGCCGTTTGCCTCTCCTGACACAATCCCCTACCCCGTGGAACCGGAACATTACTCACCGATAAAAACAACTCCACCAAAAGGTAATGTCATTTTACTGTGGTCTTAATTCTGTAAGGTGGAGGCTGATTCCCCAGATTAGCAGAAAATCCGCTATTCCGTACCTCTCTATAAAAATACTACGATAAACATAGAG